ATTGTAATAATTTCTTTTTAACCGTAATCAAAAGTTGTTATATTGGATTCTCTATAGCTTGGTTATTAAATAACGTCTGATGACTCTAATTCTGCAATCCTTGATTGTTTGAAGGAAGACATTAAAAGTTCAAACAAAAAGATCAATTAATTCTGGAACCTTTTTCGTCTGGTAAACTACATTTACTGCGACACGCGCTGTAAATTAAATGTGATAAATCTGATTCGAACATTTATTATGTCAACGAGTCTTCCCAAATTCCCCACACCCCCAAATGCAAAGATTTCAATTATAATTTACTTTGCATGGGACAACATTCTTTTTGTTCTTATTGTCCTCGAATTTCGCGAATACTGAGTCCTCTAATTGGTGTCTCACTAAATAAGGCACAAATTAGTTTCACTAATTCTGCCGTCTCGAATTCCCTTAATATGCCTCCTCTAAATCTGTCCATTATTTCGGCTAGCGACAAGTTAAGTATTTCCGTTATTTGCTGGAATTTGTGCCATGCCTTACTATGCTTACCGATTGGCTAATTGATAAAACAATGGACGTTAGACCCTAATTTTGGAGTGAAGAATGTTAGAGATAAACGAAGACTTACTTCGGACTTTGGGAACATTCTTTCCAACTCGTATAACATTGTGCAAATAATATTGAGGTGCGAGGATTCTTCTAGCGCGATGTCAGACAGATCTTCGACTTCTTCTATCATTCGTAGCAATATATGATCTATTAAAGCGCTTATGGCCTTATAATGAGATGGTGATGGCAGTACGGTCTGTAATATTTTGTAAGTGGCATGAATATCAGAATGAAAGCACATAAAAGGCACTTATATAGACAAAAAGTGTGTCAAATACGACTCATACCTTCCAGACCTTTGATACAAGTTGAACAGTATAAATAATTTCCATCATAGCCTTCTTGCAAGCCTCAAATTTAGCCTCCGTAGTTGACTGCTGCAAACCATTAAGCTCATCAAATATTTCAGATAAAGCCTGTTTCTGTTTATCCTAAAGAAGTTCGTTTCATAATAAATCATTATACCTTTATCTATGTTCCATCAACTATTATTAAAAATAATATAAAGCACTCACTATCTGCAGATTGAACCACGATGTTCCAAGTTCGCGTAAATTTTCTACGGTCTCGTTATATACAAATTCCTTGCCGATTTCATCAAACAATCCTGCATATTGTTTTTGAAGCTTTGTTAATTCTCGAGAGAGCCACATGCAGTCGTTGTGAAACAGCATTGTTAGAGCGGGTATTGATGTAAATTTCTCGTAATGGTAAACTGGCATTAGAGCTCTGTAAAGATCCAACAAGTCCAGGGTCGATCGGTAGAGTTGGAATGCACTAAATCAAAAGACCAGAGTGAGCCAAGAAATAAAACTAATACCAGAGTACATGATTACAAACGTTTCTAAAACCTTTCAGCCTTCAACTGTTTGGCCTCTTCAAGGGTCTTGACAACCAATTCTATTATAGCTTTCGACTTGGTAGTTATTTCGTATCGTTCGGGTTCAGAATCATTGCCTGCTAGTTTATTTGCCCAAGCTTCCTCTTCCCAAGCTTCATTCCAGTCGACATCCCATCCATCTGCTTCACCACCTTGTTTACTAATCTGTTTTCCTCTTTCATTAGCACCTTTCTCATTGTTAGTCTCGTTTAAGCCTTCTACTTCCTCCGATTCGCCCACAGGAAGTTCATTTCCCTCAGCCTTTCCCGACTCATTTCTCAACTCTTCTTCCTCATCAATAACACAGCTCTCAAATGCTTTGTCAATCATAGCTTCTCTCCCCATTTCTAACAATATGTCTCGTTTCTTTGTTGTAAAATGTACATCCAAATCTTTGACGTATTCAGTTAATGTCAGTTCATCACTTTCTGGTAAAAAGCCCAATTTTCTCATTTCTTCTTCAAATTCTTTAGCCGATTCGGCCAATAATGCGAATGATTCTAATTCAGAAATTTCGACTGGAATTTTGTGAAAGAGATACTCAGTTATTATCAGTTGCTGAAGAGGGGGGAAAAACATTGTGCCGAATATCGAAACGTATTCGACAGTTAGTGGAGAAGCAGAGCTGGATGAGGAAAGTAGTGCGCCACCAAAAATATGTGTGTAGAGGAAATGGAAGAGAATTGTGAGCGATTTAAAAAAATCTGTTGATAGATAGTGTTTGGTAGTTAGTGAAATGAGTGAATTAAAACGCGGGAAAAGGTAGCGCGAAGTTTGCCTTACCACTCGATGGGATATCATTAGATGCTGCCGCGGGTATATAGGTTAATTTTGTGGTGATATCATCAGGTGAGTCAATTTTGACAGTCCACGTTCCGTGATTTTGTAAGTAGGGAATGATCAAATAATTCATTATATTCTTTTTGAGCGCTGATAATTGATTCTGGATCAGGTCAACTTCTTTGAATGAGAGCAAAAGGGATGATAGTTGTATCGTATAATTGGGGGCTATTCGTAGGATTAACGATTAAGTTAGCAAGTACCTTAGAATATTGATCATAAATTTCATTCAAATTCATTATTACACTTGATTGTTGATAGTACTGTTAAGGTAGAACCGTTTTGCTCATTCTCATCGATAAATTCAAATATGACCGCTTTCGACATGAGATCAACAAGGACCTTTTCAAGTGTATCTTTTATATTCGAAAGTTGAACCTAATTAGAGAAGAAGTTAATAGCTATGAAAGAAAAAAAATCTTAAATATAACGTTTTGTTTCGGATGATCCGTACCTTCAGTCTCTCGACAATAATAATCTTTCTTTCACTTCGCACTGGCACAGATTCCAATAATCTATCCTAATCAATTTCTACTTAGCTTTACGCCGCAGACGCCAGAACTATCAATACTTCATATTAACGCTTACAATGTCCTTTGCGGCTCCAGCAGCCTCCTCGATTCGTCCATGTAACAGGTATTCATTGAATTTTTGTGTCAAAGACTTGACCTTTGATATATGTTCCAAAGTCTCTGCGATAGCTTTTACATTCTGAACATCTTGCAATACTACATGATTCTCGTGTAATGCCGCCAACAATTTTGGTTTTATTCCTGACTGAAATATTACGGACAATTGATATTAGTTTCTCCACTCGAAAATCTCGTCTGCTTTCACAATTAATTCTCTGACATACTTCAGGATCATTAACTTCTCGTGACACTTCTTCAACATCTTTAAATAAGACATTTATTTTGTTTCGTAGTTGGATCGAGTTCGCATATAGCTTTGCGAACATTTCATGATTTGTTATGATCTTCTGGAGAATTTTTGTCTAAAAATAGTGAAGTTGTCATTGTTAAGATATTAAATCTGATCATGAAAATTAGTTCAATCACAGTGAATGCAAAGCAGGAAGAACCTGGGTGTCTCGAATACGATAATCAATTTTTTGCACACACGAGATTATCGTTATTCTGTCCGCAACTGAAGAGCTCAATAAGCCATTATACTCTTCTTTAATTTTTTGGTCCTGGATAATTTCATCATTGAGGAGAGACGATATTAAAGCTGTTGGAAGACCAGCGACTGTTATTGGTAGTGGAGGCATTCGTAACTATTTTTAATTGTTGTGAATCAAGTTCCACATCTCTCCTCCTCCGCTTTAATTCACGTGATTATATTTACAAACCAATTTTTCTTCGAGTCACAAGACCATATTCCTTATTCAATTTAACTCTCCCACGAACGGACCGAAATGGACCCGTCAAACTCTCCCACGGTATCCGACTTCCGAATAACGGACCACAGCAAAGTCATGGATACATTAGAAAATGTGTTTAAAAAGATGGCAAAGGGAGAGACAAAAACGTCCGGTATATAGCGGTTTCTAATAATGCAAGGTAGAGTTATTGGCCATAGTTGTTTTTTAGAGTTAACATAGTACTTATCATCCATATCTCAGGGCACAATTCAGATGCTATGTTTAAAGAACTCGATTTGATCAGGAAGAAACAGATCCAGTTGGCTACTAATCATGTAGACTTGGAGAGTATGCCTAAAGATGAACCGTAAGGATTGCGACTATTGATAGTACTGTAAAACGCTATTGCCTTTGACTAGAATGCTTCTTAAACGACTTACAACGTGATCTTTGAATTCACAGCCAAGCAACTGAAGATGGCGCAGAATCATTTAAGCGCAACGCCGAAATGTTCAACAAGAATGAGCAAGATTTGAACAATCTAATGAAAGAGTTAAACGATTTGATAGGAAAGGTACTCGATGTTGTTTTAAAGGCGAGAAATAGGAATTACGAGAACGTTTATTTACTGGAGCTATTCTACTTTCTTAGCTAAAGGATCTGGGAGACGCCTCTGGTGATACAATTTCTGCATCTACGGAGACGGAAGAGTCAAAATCACGAACCCAGAAATCTTGATGATTAAGATAGAATAGAGAATGCTATCATTTAAGTCATAGCAAGCCCGAACATTATTAGACTGAAAGTTCAGATACATTGTAGATCGATGTTAGCGAATAAATGTCATTAAAAAGACTAATTAGCTAGTTATTAAAGTACCACTCTTCAGGAGCTCCAAGTTTTGACAGTCTGGTAAAACATCTAGAATTTCCGCATCCTTACGTTAGCCAATAAATTATTTATAAATCAACGAATGATTATAGTACATACCTTTTACATCTAATTTTGTCATAAAGTTATAATCTATCATTGAACCTTTAAGACCGAAAGTTGTTAAATAATTCAACGATATTATTCCACGCGTTGTTTTCAAATAAGAAACAATACAAGTTATCAGACATTCTTTGGATAAAATGGTAACAAGAAAAGAAGTATATTTCCGAAAGTAGATACTTGGCTTTCGCTTCGGCTGAAGTATTTTCGTCGAATTGATAAATAATAAGAATGGAAAGTTAAAACAATTTCTCATTCACTTGCGTTGACATTTTATTACGACTCACTTACCGGTACCGAATAACGCGAATGCGTTTTTTGGGCAGGTTTGACGATAAGAAGCAGCGCAGAATAAGTAAATATTCGGTAATATATGATTATATAACAAAAAGGCGAAATAAATTAACTAACCTTGAAAGACGTAACATACAAGTATAGAACTTACATTGACCATTTAACTGTCCGATATTCCGCTCCTGGTTTCAGTCAAAATATTTTTGTCTCAAATCTTAGAAAGTCATTATCAGCGATTCCATTTTCACAGAGCGCATTAATATGTTTCGTATTCTTCAAACATATTCTACCGAGGGATCAGTAGACATTTTCGATTTGAAAAGAAATATATTAATGGGACGATGTAGTCAAAACAGTTGTATGGGTGAGTGGTAAAGAGTTTAGTATTAGTATATAGTAATAGTATAGACGTCGTATCACGTCAAATTTAAACGTAATTTTCCCCAAAAGCGGATTCCAAAATCGAATTATATTAATCCATGTTTTACTATAAATAAAAAGTGCTCAGTTACAGTAGCTTCTAGACTCATGCATCACGATCAACTTTCCGGCTTAATACAAACATATTACTCTTTCTGCCATATATCGGCATTTTGATTTTTGCCGAGAAAATCACTGACAAGTAAATCACCAGAGAATAAAGTGGGGAAGTTTTTACCAAAGTATTGTCAACTTATAATAATTTTATTGTAATCATTGCATCGTCTATTATCTATTCATATGATGGTACGTTGTTTTCTATACGTATCATTTCCGCACTTCGTAAAATGCAATCGGACCCAAATATTCTTGCAAGTTCTTATGGCCTGTTAATATGCATGTAAAATTAGGCAATAGTCCTCGTTTACACAAGAATGAATCCGTCGTCTACTTGCCTAATGACTGAAATATTCGATCAAAATGTGGCATGAATTCTCCGTGTGGTAGATATAGTTGAAAACCCAGGCCAACAAACACTGAAAATTCATGCTCTTTTATATCTTTCTCATCGACATCGAAATATTTGTCAATTGACTAAGGGACATATAAAGATTAATACCTTAAACATGGGATATTCTAAGAAAACCTTTTTACTACCATACCTGTAACAGTGGTCCAAATGTCATTCCTCGTGGTTCATTTACCTTACTTGCGAGAAATAGGCAAATGCCTATGCAGTAAACACAACAATTAGAGCGAATATTATGAGGATATTCCAAGCATAAATTATACTAATGTTTCCTTCATATTTACCAGCCATAAGCCTTCGGTTTGCTTTATTAACAGCATTCTGAGCGACAACTTGGTGTTAGTGTCATGATTATAATAGTAGACATACGATCGATGACTTCCACATGTGCGATAATTACTGATCTTACATACCTTTAAGACTAATTTCTCAAAATAAGCATAAGTCATTGCGACAGTTGACAGTTCTAAATCTAAACCCAGACTCTAATAAAATTATTATGCAATATGAATACTGGGGTCTTGTCTACAGCCATATGCGGTCACGTAAAATACCTCATACCTCATTTCTAGCAGCCAATAATAGTTTTTCTTTAACAGTTCTAATTTTACTTAAAGACATCGTTGGATCTAAATTAGGATGTTGTTTACGAAATTTCTCGTTTGCTTCGCGTTTCTGCTCCGACGATCGAGTGTATTGAGTATTTGATCCCTAAAATAGATATAAACCGATAGTGTTATCAATAGTTCTCGCGATACCAATAATTATTACTAAACTAACCATAAAGGGGAGGAGACTGATCATACGACGTCGTCTTCCCATTTTCAGCGTGGGATCATCGAGTAGTACAGGATTATACTCGATTTCCTTCTCGTGTGAACTAGTGAAATGTGGAGGTAAAGTTGTGAATATCAAATTGGGCGAGCTGGGTGGTGTATCAAATTAAGTGAAAATGGATAGGTACTCTCGCTCATTACCAGGCACTAGCAAATGTACATATGATGCTGCCTGAGATTTAAAAGCATAATTGTAAGAAAGTTGGCATAAACCGTCAAGAAATGCAATCATATGGGCGTCTTTAAAATATGTCTACCTTTCCCCTATATTAGAGTATGTCACAAAAGCGTTAGTCTTAAACAACATCCGAAATACATGCTTGCATTCTTCATTACACTCACGACTTTTCTCGACGCATCTTCTTTTCGTCTGTTCCTTTCAGAAGAGAAAACTTCCCGGCGCCTGTAGGCGATGCCTGTCAATCAAATTTTCAGTCAAGATACGACATTTTCAATAAATCAATAGAGCTCATCGCGAAAAAAGAATTTTTCTCACATTGTTGGGCGACCAACACGAATTATCGTCATAAAGGCTATCTTCTTCCAAGTCGAATTGATCAACAACATCGCCATGTACTTGAGCTATTCGACTTGACGGCTGGTTAAATGAACCGTTGGGTGGAGAAGGAGTTGGTGATACCGAGGCGGAAGAATAGTCTGCAATGTTAAACTTGTAAATTAACAACATACTTTGTCTTAACGATGTAAGGTTTCTTGTATGCGCTAACCTTATATACATACCTGAACCTTTCTGGTAAGTCTCTGTTTCTGTTAAAGATGTTAATGTTTCTGAATTAATGTAATTGTTCTTCATTTCACATCTTCACAACATTCTCTTGACATAACACTAGAATAGACTCTAACTTTACCACATTCAGTTTCAGTATCTTTTCCATGGGCTATTACGCTTTTACCCTTTTCATTCTTTTGATCCTTTATACTAGGGTCATCACCTTCCCTCATGTCGGATGCTCCTTGATCAGCATAAATTTCTTTATCCACTGCAATTTGACTAATCGCTTTAGCCGTTCCAATACTTTCATCTCTGCTCGTACTATCCTGCTCATTTGTCCTATTCTCGCCAATATGACCACTGCCCTTTCCTCGTTCAGTGCTTTGATATTGTCCAGCATTATATAATCGATTGGTTGCGCTGTTTCCGCTTGCACTAATTTTCTTGTTGTTAGTCTTCTCGGAGAGAGTAGATTCAGTTCCCAGGCTAATATTAGAGAGGAACGAGAAAGCAGCTTGTCGTGACAGATCTCGTCTACTTTCGTTTTGACGAGTTGGGACAGTTGTCATTTGGTAAGAGAGGTCAACTTTGATTTGTAAAACACCTGTGTCGACTCATATGAGCCATTCATTCTGCGAAAGGTGTGGAAACCATAACGCCACCGCCGAATTTCAGGGGTCAAATTATTACTGTTGCAATAGCGCCACATGTGTTCCCTATTTTATCTATACAATAACATTAGTCACCCATACCGAGATATTCGAAAAAGTGTCAGCAAGAAATAAATATACTTTGTCATTCTGACGGATTTCCTCGTAATTTCAGACAAAATACCGGCCAGTTTACGGAAGTTGGATTAATATCCAAGACAGGAAGAATGTATGTCCCGCGAAATACGGTCGCAATGCGCGCATGTGAGTTACACATTTTAGTTTCCAATGGAAATATCAAAGGCACTCGAAAGAGGAGGGTCTTCAGGATGTGGTTGTTAAAGCCCAAGAAATGTAAGTCAAATTAATAAAAAACGGCAGGTGGATTTGACAATCCAAGAGCTTGTTATGAACTGCTGTTCGATGCTGGGTCTGTTAGACTTAAGGATAGCTACCTCAAATGGTTACGATCAACATAAGCCTATAAATAAGAAAGCACTTGAAGCGTTTTATGAAATCCGCGAAGATAAATGTAGGTACGTACTGTACATGCATGTTTTTCTTTTTACTAAAAACTTTAACAATTAGGTAGAGAAAATTTAATATCTGGCAGTTCACATATCTTGCTCAGGAATATACAGTCAGAAGAATTTCCATCCAGAACTTTGCCACTTATTACACTATGTCGCGGGAGAGCGATTAGTAATCGACACTTTGCCCGGACAAAAGTCTTGCACATCGAAAAAATTTAACTACACAAAATTATAATAATAATAATGATATTTCAAATTTTAATATAACATTGTTTTGGTTTTAAACAAACGTGTGTATAATTTTCGTGTTGTTTGTAAACACACATCAGAATATATAAATAAATCCGCAATTACTCCTAACCTTTACTGATCTTAAATGTGTCCCTTAACTGTGAGCTTATTAGCCTTTACAAAATAAGCAACCAGTACCAAAAATTAGTAGAATGCTCAAAGTTCATAGAACAACTGTCACTCGTACTATTTATAAGTACCTTAACGAAGTTGGCCCTGCTATCCGTCCTCGACCCGGCCGTCCGAAATTATTGACTAACAGAAGTCAAAAAATTCCGAAGACTATTGTTAAAAATAATAAGAAAAATCAGCCGAAGAAATTAAAAAAAAAAATAAAATGAAATTTTTTTGTTGAAAAACCTAATATTGAAGTTTCCACAAAAACTATTACGAGAAATGCAGATATTTTTTTTCTCGTATACCAGCTTGCAAACCTTTCCTAAATGATCGGCAAAGAGAACAACGCCTGAAATGGTGCACTGAAAGGCGAGATTGGACTGTTCAAAAATGGCAATCTGACATATGGACAATCTGTCATATGGAGTGATGAGCAGATTTACAATATTTAAAAATGATGGTCCAGGTCGTGTTTGGAGAACTTCTGGCACCAGATTTAATATTGAAAATTTGGTTCCAACAGTAAAATTTGGAGGTGGAGAATTAATGATGTGGGGGTGCTTTTCTGGTAAAGGATTGGGGCCATTAGTAAAAGTAGATGGTAAAATGAATAGATCTGACTACATAAAAATACTTGAAAAGCATTTATTACCCTTGATAAAGGAAGAATTTAATTGCAGAGGGTATTGGTTTCAAGATGATAATGCTCCAGTCCATACTGCTAAAGATGTTAAGAAATGAACAAAATCAAAGTCTTGCCAGATTGGCCAAGTCAGTCCCATAACTTGAATTCAATCAAACATTTAAGAAGGCAATAACAATCTTGCAGAATTAGAGACAACGTTACAAGAAGAATGGGGCAAGATTTCACAAAGTCAAGTAATGGCTTTGATAGAAAGTATGCCACGGAGAATAGAAGCTGTTATTGCAAACAATGGGTGGTTAGAAATGTAATTATTATGTATAATTTTGTGTAATTAAAATTTTTCGATGTGAAAGACTTTTGTCCGGGTAGTGTAGCTATAGTCAGCGGAGCGTGGCCTCTCCTATCAATAATTAAATCTAGTGACCTTGTAATCTCAAGGCTTTCCCTCAGCATCGTTAAGTGTATGCTAATCCTAGATAACGTAATTGTTGCCTGAATTTCTCCTACTCGCCAAGTACCAGCCACATAAGTAAAGTTCAGGTGGGGCATGCTGCAACAAAACCAGACAAAGTGAACATTCTATTATGTGACATAAATGAGAGGCTGATTATGATGTGG